TTGCAATTTTGCAGGCTAAGTGCAAGCAGTTACACAGCTCTACGTACAGTGAAGGCATGCAAGTAAACATTGAATGCAAGGCCATTCTGCTCCTGAAGTGTGGCAAGGTAAGACACTGGTCTGGTTGAATAGAATAGAATTTTTTATTGGCCAAGTGCGATTGGACACACAAGGAATTTGTCTTGGTACATATGCTCTCAGTGTACATAAAAGAAGAGATACGTTCATCAAGAATCATAAGGTACAACACTTAATGATAGTCATAGGGTACAAATAAGCAATCAGGAAACAATATCAATATAAATCGTAAGGATACAAGCAACAAAATTATAGTCATACAGTCATAAGTGGGAGGAGATGGGTGGTGGGAACAATGAGAAGATTAATAGTAGTGCAGACTTAGTAAATAGTTTGACAGTGTTGAGGGAATTATTTGTTTAGCAGAGTGATGGCATTCGGGAAAAAACTGTTCTTGTGTCTAGTAGTTCTGGTGTGCAGTGCTCTATAGCGTCGTTTTGAGGGTAGGAGTTGAAACAGTTGCTTCATTTAAACAGACATATTCACCCAAGTGCACATGAGATCCTATTGAATAATCCAAATTGCATCCAGCCACACACATCCAATGACTATGTGGAAGAAAAAGAAAGAAAAAAAGAGAAGGAAGGAAGGAAGGAAGGAAGGAAAGAAGGAAGGAAAGAAGGAAGGAGAAAGTAATGTAAAAGACCATCAGAAAGTGAACTACAATAGTCAGGGTAGGGACTAATCAAATCAGCGACCAGAAATTGAGAGGTGGAGTTTAAAACACTGTAAAAAGACAAGCTGTGTGTACTGGAATTCGAACTCTGCTCTAAATGTTGTGTCTGCCTTGCCAGTTCCAGAGAGTCATGCATCCAGAGAGTTGAAAAGCTTTCACAAGTATGTTTATATATAACACAGAGGGGGAGAGACTTGCGTGACTACAGCTCTGGCTGGAAACATAAAGTCATTGTTTTAAAGTGAGAGGCTCCTTCCCTTCCCAACTTCCTTGTGTGAAGACAGCATTCCTCCTTTGCATTCCTTCACCACTGCTGAGATGGGGAGGGAGCCAGGGCTGAAACAAGCCCATGTTTTAATTATTAAAATGTGTCTGAAGTGTTTGGAGGGCAGGGCTGGGAGGAAACGAACAGAACCGCCAACAAAGCAAGATAAAATATGTATGAAGCAGGTAAATTAAGGATGATTATCCCCCTCCCTAAGCCCTGCCTGCAGGCTCAAATATATGTCAACCAGATGTTTCTAAGATACAAAGAGTGAGTGCTGGTTTTCCCTATGGGCTCATATCAGCAATTGAAAGCACCCTTTCTTCTCTTTAACTTGGCGATCTTCTCGTGACAGAAAGGAGACTGATGGGGTTGAGACCTCTTTGTGGCCACTTTTGTATGAACCAAAAATATTTCTAGATCCCTGAATGCAGGTTAAAATCAAGAGATAAGATGAGGAATCCAGCCCATCTGTACCTCGACTCTAAGACCTTCAGATACTTTGGATACTGTACTGCTCCTATAATCCCTACCTAAATCTCATTGGTAGGGATGGTTCAGATTGATGGGAATTGTAATTAATTATGGATGATTTTTTCCCCCTGGTGCTTCCTAGAGATTTGTTTAAACATTTTGGCAGCAAAAGTGTCTGACCACTCAACCCAATACAGCACAACCAACGCAAGCTGTGAAAATGATAATACTGCCATCCATCTAAAACATCTCAGAAACCACCAACAGACTATTACAACCACATGGCATCAGTGTAGCACACAAACCAAAAAAGCCCTCCAAAACATCTTAATTAAACCAAAAGGAAAAAAAAAAAACAGTCATATAGACTGCAACAACCACTACGTAGGATAAACAGGCAAAAGACTAACAGAATGCATCTATGAACACCAACTGGCAGTCAGAAGACATGATAAAAACTGCTTAATTTCACAACACATGGACAGACTTAACTATAGTTTCAGCTGGGAAACTGTGATCATCCTAGACCAGTGATGGCTAACCCTTTTGCTGTCGCGTGCCAAAAGCGGGGGGAGCGCAGGGGGGTCATATGCCTGCATGCCCACACTCATAATTCAATGCGCCCAGCCCCCCATGCATGCACACAAGACCCCCCCTGCATTCCCCCCGCTTTTGGCACTTGATGGCACAGTGAGACCAGTAAGCCCATTTTTCACCCTCTCTAGGCTCCAGAGTCTTTCTAGGAGCCTGGGGAGGGCAAAAATGACCTCCCCCCCCTCAGAGGCCGTCTGGAGGCCAGAAACAGCCTGTTTCCTGACTTCCGGTGGGCCTGGAAGGCCTAAAAATCAGCTGGCTGGCACGCACATGTTTAAATTTGGAATTTAAGATTTAGGGTGATATTTAATAGAATGTTAAATGTTAGAACAAGATGTTAGATTTAATGGAAAAATTGGGTTTAGAACTTTTTTCTTTTTTTTCTTTTTCTTCTTTTTTTCTTCTTTAAGATAGTAATGGATGAAATTTGGAATCTATACTTATTTTATACCGGATCAAACTTTTGCTCTAAAAAGATATGTTTTATGTTTTATGTTTAAAATAAATTTCCAAAAAAAAACAAAAAAAAAACCCACCAAGCTATCAGTAAGCAGCCCAACCAAAGAACCACCAAGACCACACCCACCAACACCAACAAAGGAAGCCACTAGAATGCCTCAGATCAATTTGTGCTTCAGAAATTGGCTTTGCCTTGAATCTTGAAGTAAGGGTGGAAAGCTAAGATCACAGAAAGGAACCTGAACATTTTCACTTACCCCTTTTCAACAAAAAAACCCCCATATAGTCTTGGGAGATTAAAAATTCTGGCAGCAGCTACGTTTCCCCCAGATTCAGTATTCATTGAATACTTAACAATTTGCAAATTTATGCAGACAAACTTTTTTCATGATCATAACACTAAAAATATACAAATATCCCAAGATGAGTTTTATAGAGTAGTAATTTATAGAAGTATGTCAACATCTGTTTCATTTTCCATCTTCTGCTTTCAGAAGTTAGTTCCGTAAGGTTATTGAACGACATAGCAGGTGAATGAGAAGAATTTTCATGGAATTATTAAGAAATACTTTACAACAGGCTTATAAATATAAACTATTTGGCACTTTCAGGACTAATACCATTTTATCTTTCAATTGTTATTGCCATGCCATCCAATGTATGCCTCATTTGAGTAATATACTCCTTTAGGTATAAAATGATCCCTAAAATAAAATTTCCTTTTTTAAAAATTTTTTTTTTCCTTTGGTAGTGCATGAAGCTAGTCTTTTATTTTTGTTATAATAAAGTTTGAAAATAATATAATTTATTTTGAAGTTAACATAGGTATAAGTATTTAAATATGGAATCCTAAGTTCAGAAATAAATTCAAGAATAGGTGTTAGCCTGAACTAAATATACCTAGCAGTTCCATTTTAAGTTTTTGTCTATCCACTGTGGAGTAGGTTACAAATATACTATTGAATTGTGGAAAATGGTGATACTACAGTGACTCAGTCACACAATGCTGGTACAAAAATTAGCCTGAGCAATCCAGCACATGATTTTGATTATTGTTTTATAATATCTATATCTTTTATAATATCTGTATCTTTCACTTGAAAATTAGAAAAGTGTGAAACTGAAAATGCAATGTTCAATGAGGTTTACTGTACTGTAAAATAAATACTGAATGGTCATTTGTCAGAAATGTTCTGAAGGGACCTGCATTCAACAGTGGACTGGACTATCGTAGATGGCCTTTAAATTACTTTTGAACTGTATGATTTCATATGTAAGTGTAGGATTGCTACCCAAGTCACTCTTATGGCTGTTGGGAGTATCTCCACAGTCATGTGGAGATTAAACTTTAGATATTTGGCATCAGTCATGTATTTATCATGGTTGCAAAATCCCAGGGTCCTGGGATTGTCATTTGCAATCTTCCTAGGGAGCAAAATCAATGGGGAAGCCAGATTCATTTAATAACTGCATGATTCACTTAACAACTGTAGTGAATCACTTAACAACCATAGCAAAAAGGTTGTAAAATGGGGAATAACAAATGCCTTGCTTAGCAATGGAAATTTTGGGCTCAAAAGTCGAGGACTACCTATAAATATATGGTATCTCTAACGGTTCCTGCTAGAGAATTTTCCAACTAAAAATGTATTTAGAATGGAATTCCATGGCTCTGACAAAGTAAGAGCCACAAAACAGCCTAGTACATTTTTGTACTGTGCATTGTGCAGTCCCAGCCAAAGACTGCCATTGCATAATTATAGTCTAGGGCCACTTGGATCATAGAATAGAAACTCCAATCCAGGAGAGAAACCCAATTTTGATAGTTGCCGCCCCTACTTTTCTGGAAAAGCGGTTCCATTTCATTTGCCTTTATATATTCGCTTAACATCTACTGGCATTGTTTTGGGGGCCACAAGAAAAGAAATGTGATTAACACCAGTTGTCTGCAATTCGAATCTCGCCAGGTTCAAGGTTGACTCAGCCTTCCATCCTTTCTAAGGTAGGTAAAATGAGGACCCAGTTTGTGGGGGCAATAAGCTGACTTTGTATAAATATACAAAAGTATGAAGGCTATTGCTTAACGCATTGTAAGCTGCCCTGAGTCTCTGGAGAAGGGCGGCATATAAATTAAATTAAAAAAAATACAGGCGACGATTAAATCGAAGCCAAAGAACCACACGCGGATTTTCTTTTAACGTTGCGGTTGTTAAAAGCCTTGCAAGCAAAATCCGACCCTTACGGGGACTGTGAAAATCGGACGCCCCGCCATGTCATGTCAAGCGAGCATCATCGATTACCTAGGAAATCGACTGAGCGCCGATTGGCCAGCTCGCGGTAGGCGCCGCAAACTACGATTCCCGTGATGCTTTCCGGCATGTCTTGCCGAAGTCAAAGGAGCCTGAGGGTATATAAAGGCAGGAATGGCTCGAGCCGAGGCAATCGGAGGTAAGTTGGCGGGCAAGCGATGTACCTGCTTGGAGAGCGACTGCGCTCGAATCATTTCCTCGTCGTGGATTTCGGGGGAGTCGGGCGCTACGGGAAAACCAAGCGTGTTTTGGAAGGGCTGTCCTGAGATCCTTGCGGGATCGGTTGGATGCCTTTGGCTATTCGCTATTCGAGGAATTGTCTGGGATCAAGTGAGCGGGCAGCTTTACCTCCAGCTTCCTTCGCTTCCGGAGGGATCGATGAAGCTTTCTTCGGGACCGGCAGAGAGTTTGCGATGGATCCTGGTTAAGAAGAAGTCGTGGGAGTTCAGATGAAATTACCTTTGTTCCTGTAAATCTTAATCTCTTCTGCCCAGTCCCGAGAACCGAAAGTGTGGAGTGGAAGGGATCTAACGAGATTAGTTTAGCCCTTCCCACCGTCTTCTTTTCTTCCTCTCGGCCAAATGGATCTATCCTTGGAGAGCTCTTTCCGCCTAGAAATGATACTGCCATGGATATATATATATACATACACACACATACGGTATACATCTGCCTCTTGGGGGGGGGGGAAGCAGGGACGTCTTGGGGGCGAAGACGCCTCTATTTCTTACCGGACCGACCAAGGAAAGTCACCGGTGGATGCCTGCCTGTTTTTTCTCTGATCTGGATATAACGCTTCGCAGTGATGCTTTCCTTCTCTCGCCCCCACTCCCTCTTCCCTGAGTCCTGGCGTTTTGCCATACATAGATAAGCTTGGAGGCGCCTTTGGCATCCCGTGTTTGTGGAATATAATGGGCGGCTGCCTCCTGTCACTTTGTTCTCCGTGGAAGGCGGCGCGGAAGGTGAGTAACTTGGATGAAGGCTCAGGTGCTTTGGATTATCTAGGATGGTGTTGGCCGGGGATGAGAAACCTTGTGTGGGGGGAAAGGCCGGGTTAAGGGAAGGCCGCTTTTCGGAAGCTTTCGCTTGAAAATGAAAACGGCGAAGATGCGTGTCGTGTATTGATCTCGCAAAACAAGGAAGGGGGCGATCGTGGGCTTTCTTCGAACCTTTCGAGGATGTCTTTTCCCGCTCCGTGGCACGCTTTGCTTGTCATCAGGAGACACCGACCCCCTCCCCCACCCGCCCCCCGCCAGAGGAAAGGACGCAAAAAAAAAAGCGGGACATCCCCACGCCGTTTGCTCTTCTGCCTTCGGGATCCGTTACTTGAACGCGGGTGTTGGGCGAGGGAACGGCGCCTACCCGCTGAGGTGGGGGTGGGGGGGGAGAGCCCGCCCGGTGGCATGCAGCCGGTGGCCCGAGCGCGCTTCTTTGGAGAACAGATAGGCTAAAAGAGGGAGGCAGGTGTTGGGGCTGATGTTAAGGGAGAGGAGAATAATCTATTGCTTAAAAAAAAAAAAAAAAAAAGCACACACACCCCTTCGCAGTTTGCACGGCGCTCATCACTTTAGGCAACAAAGGGACTGAGTTCACTGCAAGATTGAAGCCTTTTTTAGTGAGTTGGTGGGCGGGCAGGGACGTTTTGTTCCAGCCACTTAACGGATTTTTTTTTTTTAAAAAATTATTATTATTTTTTTACAAATCGAGATCTCAAAGCTTGCTGTACCTGCCGATGAAATGGATAAATGCATTCTAGGATCGGGGCTTCGTGGGAGCGCGCCTTTGGGGGGGGAATGAATGCACGTGCCGAGGAAGCCCGAGCGAGATTTTGTCCCCTTTTCCACAGAGGACGTCGTTGTCCTTGTCTTCTGATGCCCTCTCTCTTCCGCTCTCTCTCCCTGAGGGCATTAGGTGGTGTTAACCCTGCTTTGTAACTCAACCCCGTGGCCTTCCTCTGCCTAAATGGCTCTCAGGGTTGCTCTCTTTGGCGTATAATCGGCCTTTTGTTTTCATGGCGTGGCCAGCGCCTCCTTCTCCTCTCCCCCCCCCCCGCCCAATTTTCCTTTTTGGTCTCTTTCTTAACTCGATCATTCCTTTCCACTCCGATGTACTAGGTTCCTTTCCCCCCCTCCCCTCGAGTGAATGAAGTTGTTCCAGGCTAGGCTTTTCTCTTCCTCAGCCCACCTGTGCAGTTAGTGAGTCACCTGCCCAAGAGTCTAGTTGCTGGGGATTCCCTTGCCCCTCTCTTTTGGGTAGTAGGTGGTCCTTGGGCTGGAGGACTTGATTTATTGTGCCCTGGTGGGAACTCTTGAGAGGCCCAGCACCTTAAAATGTCTATTTATAGGCATTCCAATCAGGGCTATGTTTAGCTTTATGGTGAGAGGGGCTTCATTCACTCCCCCCCTTTCCTTCCAAAACAATTGTGAGGGTAGTGAAATGTAGCATTACTGGTGATTGATGTCTCTCCTATGGAAGAATAAGCAAAACATGAACTGTATTTACTTGGGGAACAAGGGGGGGGGTGGGAGTTGGAATGTAGGCCTGGATCTCCTCATAGTTTACTGGATGGTTTGTAGTCAATCAAAACACTCGGTTCCAAGTGCCAGCAATTCCTTTCCTTTCGAAGGAGGCTTGCTGAGGTGGAAAGGAAGGGTGAGTGTGGTAAGAAGTCCACACAGATCTTTGTTTGACAGCCCTGGGCTCAGTTCTGACACAGAAGACACCTTCTGGAGCTCGGAGGCACTCCAGTACTTCAGTTTGGGAGGTGTGGTTGTTTCTCAGTTCCCAGACACCCCATCTAGCTGCTGATCCCAGTTGGACTTTTTCTTCTGGAAGAATTTTATAGGAAGCAAATTGTTTTTGTTCCCCAGAAACAACTTGTCTATTAGATATGGGCAGAGCTTGCTTATTTATTCGTGCAATTGATCTTAGCAGCTGAAGTCAGCTGGATTTGAGGCAGCATACAATATTTAAGTATTTAAAACAGAATGCACATCAGAAAAATGTAAAAAGTGACTAAAAGTTTGTTTTAGTTTCCTGCTGTGACGTTTTTGTTCTCTTCCGAATATCTCCATTGCTGCTTTTGAAAACAGCAGTTGTGTTTGGCAATGGAGAGAAGTTAGTTCATGTTAATATTAGGTAGGTGTTTGGGATTAGATTTGGATTAGACAATCTGAGCCATTGCAGATGCTCCAGTTTTTCTTTGGATTCACACAAGCTTCCCAGGTTACATTGCTCTGAAATTTCAAAATGTACTCCAATAATTTTCTCTGGTGGGAGCATCTGAGCAAATCACAAGACTTTGCACTATTAGTACAATCTCCTTGGCAGCACAGTACTCTGATACTTGGGTTTGCTTGTACATTTTTGAAGAAGTCACTTTCTGACAATTCAATTGTCACCAAACCAAAAGGAACCAAAGTCATGTCCAGGTATGAATACATAAACAATGGAATTTACAAGTTGTACAGTAAAGTAGTTTTCCATATAAAACAGATACTATACTAGGCTCAGGCATAAATCCCAGGTGTTCAGGATTTAGGCAAATTAAGAACTGTGAAGTGTGATTAATTCCAAATTTAATGATATTAGAATTTCCATGTCATGAGAGGCTTAATTAAAACCATCTGCTTATAGACCTTATCACAATCAAGTCCTCTGCCCAAATGAGAGATACTATAGTCTGTGCAAGAATTATTTTTTGACATTGGACGTATGTGGGGGATTAAGCCAAGATGGTTGGGCGATTATGGGAACTGAAGTCAAGGAATATAATTGGGAAATGTTACTTATAAGACACAAATATCTTTATAAGTCCTCTTGTACTAATAAAGTTATATATCATAAGTATCTATTATAACTTTTGTAAGAGAAAATTTCTTATCCATTGCCTAACCTTATGTATTCTGAAGAAAACCACCCTTTTCTTACCCTTCTATTAACTCCTAATGAAAATAGCTTTCCTAAAACAGATCTCCCTCCCTCCCCTTCTGTTTGTGTAATACCAACAACAAACTTAGGCAAATCCATTTTTATCAACATGTTTCTACCAGAGGTGAGTTTCAGCAGGTTCTGACCAGTTCTGGAGAACCGGTAGCGGAAATTTTAAGTAGTTCGGAGAACCGGTAGTAAAAATTCTGACTGGCCCCGCCCCCATCTATTCTCTGCCTCCCAAGTCCCAGCTGATCGGGAGGAAATGGGGATTTTGCAGTAACCTTCCCCTGGAGTGGGGTGGGAATGGAGATTTTACAGTATCCTTCCCCTGGCACACCCACCAAGCCACGCCCACCAAGCCATGCCATGCCCACCAAGCCACACCCACAGAACTAGTAGTAAAAAAATTTGAAACCCACCACTGGTTTCTACCAAAAGAGACTAAGTATGAAATAGTAATAAGACACAAATCTTCAGTTTTGAAACAACTGAACTATCTTTAAGAAAAAAAAGTCTTTCTAAAGTGAGAGCCCAAAACATGATGATGGAAATATTTATTTAGCAATAGAATTGGTAAGCAGGTTTCAGTAAGGCACCTGATTACTAGTAGCTCTACTTTATTATTTATATGCTGTGATTTCAGGGAGGCTTAACTAAGTGTTTTGGAGAAGGAAATTAAGTACTAGATTTGGTAATCAGAAGCAATAAAAACAGAAGCAACAAAAAATATTATCTGATCATTAACATATTTTACTCCTCCTACCTTTTCTCTTTTCACACCATACATTTTGTTCTACTCCTTAGCTCTACTCCACTTTGGTACACTGACAGATATAGGCTTAGCAAACTTCTGGGTTATAGAAAGCGATTCATCCACTTTTAAGTGTTCTCTTTTGCTTTGGCTACTTTTTAGGTAGAAATATACTTTTCTACCTGTAATGTATCATAAGAAGAATTTATACTGTTGAAAAGAGCATAGAGCCGAGGTGGCGCAGTGGTTAGAGTGCAGTACTGCAGGCTACTTCAGCTGACTGCTAGCTGCAGTTCAGCAGTTCAAATCTCACCGGCTCAAGGTTTGCCTCAGCCTTCCATCCTTCTGAGGTAGGTAAAATGAAGAGCCAGATTGTGGGGAGCAATATGCTAACTGTAAACTGCTTAGAGAGGGCTGTAGTCTAAGTGCTATTGCTATTGCTATAGAGAATGAGATGCGAGGATGATGGTAAATATACTTGGCAGTTACCATAACTGGTGGCATGAACCATATGGTTCACATTGAGAACTATACCAAGATAAGGCAGAGGTGGTCAAGAATAAGTTCTCAGAGGCCACTTGACTTGATGTGTGAAAACTTTGGACCTTCACCCATTTCAATTCCCAAACTTCAAAAACAAAGCACTTGTTCTGATTGTTGCAGTAACACAAAATAGACGGGTCATCTGTTACAATGGATGGTGCTGTATGTTCTGTAGGTTAGGAATTAAGACCTTGTTAATGCTAATTAAAGGAGAGATGCTTCATGGGGTGGACTGAAAGCTTTGCCAAATATATGTTTTTGAAGCAACTCGGTGTGAAAGAATGGACAATGGAGGAAGTGACAAAGTACCACAAGTAGGGAAATCCTCAAACTGCAAGGTTTTACCTTTCTTAAAGAGATACAGAGAGAGTCCACGGAAGACATGAAGAACCTTTTATTACATTGCTACCAAAAAAACCCCAAAACAACTTTCTCAAAATTTCATGTGGATTGTTAATGGTGTTCATTTTGGTGCCTAGATTTTTAGGGGTGGTAAAGGGAGTCATCATGACAAAAAGTTTAGGAATCCCTAATTTAGAGCATCAGATCCTGTCTCAAGTCCCCACCCCCCGCCCTTTGATGCTACATCTCACACACCGGAATAAGATGAGAGGTGCTTGGTATGGACTGATAGATAGGATGTTCAAAAAAAAGTACTTGGAAAGGTCATAGATTGGATATAAGTCACTGGAAGGACATGACTGCCAGAAGACAGATGCGATGTTACAAGTTGGG